AAACTTAGCATTAGCAACGAGTCTCTTCATAAAACATCCAGCATATTGGAATATGGAACTGGAGATTCCTCAGAAACACCTCTGAACTCGTTACCCTGTAGGGAAAAAAAATGTTTAGCACAAAAAAGAGTCCCTGCTCTTGAATAAAGGAAGCGAAATTGAAAATAAAGTATGGAGAGGTTTAAATTAAAGAATGTCTTTAAACACCACATTTTCTAGTTTTATACCTCAAATATAGCACTTAATTTTAAAAAGCATGGACTGAAAATATAAGTGAGAACAATAACAATGAAATCTTTCTCCATTGCTAAAAGGATTATTAACTTTGTGTTTTTCACTCGGCACTGAAGATTATTTCTGTCAGCAGGAGAATTGCAATTGAAATGGTCCTGGCAGCTTTATTTACACCATTATTTTTGTTTTCTATTAGACTAATTTGTTTTTATTTGGCTTTATTTTGTGTCTGTTTAATGTTTTGTGCCTAGTCAAACCCAGTTTCCATTTGCATTGCTCATTCTAATGGGACTACACTGTCTCCTCTATAGCTGTTCACTGCATAGGTGCTTTGGGCCGTTATGCCAGCACTGGGCTGTCCTTCACTACCTTAGCTCTACTGCTTGTCGATTCTGCAGAGTGCCATCCCAATCCCATTGATGTGCTCACTGATTTAGCAGAGAGCAGAAAATCTATCCTAAATGTCATGCTTGTTTTTGTAGGGCAGACTGAGTTGCATGAAAGATGTGTGGTTGCAAACAGTAGCTGTGTTAAGGCTTAAAGTGCTAAAAATCAGGATTTGGGATTAGGTAACTTGAGTTAATCAGCAAATGGATCCAGATACTGGGTTTCCATAACATTTACAATATGTGAATGTCTTGGGATTTGATGCAAGCGTGTATTTCCCCGCTCTCAAATTGCTCTAATAAGTTTTCTTAGTTAAGAAGGTCCATGTAAGAGGTTTTCCAAAAGGCATATTTTATTACTAACACCATATTGACTACTTTTATTGTATCTCTTTAAAGTAACTATGACTGAAGCAGCACAATTAATTTTTATTTTGTTCTGATAGTTCTAGGTCATTTGGGCTCTGACTGCAAATAAAAACCTTCTCTCTTTAAGGTTTATACCTGTTTGACTTGATACCAGATCTGAATATACACTGAGGCAGTCATTAAAAAAAAAAAAAAAAAAATCATCTGCAAGAAGAGTGAGATCCTCATGAATATTTGTGATACCATTAGGCAGTCAAATCAACCCCAAGGAGAGAGGAAAAGCTGCAGCAATCCTCAGGGCTGAGATGTTGCCTTGCTTCGTGTTCTATCTGCAGCAACTGCAGCGGCCCATGTAGAGTTAGTTGATTTCCTATGGTCAGATCCCTTTGGTGTTATCTGCTGAGTTTTCTTTCACCCGAGTTGAACAGGGACTCATTAAATTATTTTTTGCTCTTAGGTGGAGGAATTGGGACTGGCTGATGTGCTTATCCCTGTAAGGCTATTCTGGTGCAAATGGTTTTAAAAATGTGGCCTGTGGCCATGGGTAGCAGTTACAGGTAACTGAAGTGTGTCTCTCTGGCAAAGAGGATACCATCCCTTAGCATGGATATTTACATTGGAACTTCACTTATTATTTGTAATGAATAAATAAGATGGCAGTGATGAGTCCAAGTAATTTCCAATCTTTCTTAGACTTTCTACAGCTTTACTTACTTCATTAGGCCCAATTAGGCCAGTGAAGATCCCACCACATTTACCCTCTGACAACTTCATTTGTTGTAATTTAACAGCGCAAGTGTTGCAAAAAGCAAATTCTTTTTCCCACTCTGGATCATGAAATTAAGTTGTCCTCTCCTGCTTTAAGGTCTCTCATAACAATTTCTTCAAAACTAAGCTCTGTTTGCTCACTTCAAGGTTCAGAGAACACAGTGTAACATGAAGAGAAGGTTTATGTGTGTCTATATTGGCATTTTCTTCAACTGTGTGTTTCCTAGCAAGCTTCAGTAATTTTGTCTGAGTTACTTCATGCCCTGTCCTGCATTGGTGAAACAGCTCTGTAAGCGGAGGGGTCTTTTTTTGCCAGATCAAAAACCTTTCACATATTTCTCAAAAAGATTTTCCAGGATTTCCAGGGGCAATGTGGAAAATTGTTGTCCAGTGCACTATCTAGAGTGATCTCTGAAGCATCCCCTTCTTTTGGACTCTTTCAGTTCTCACCAGAGGCTTTGAGGATGTTGTTTTCCATATTTTAAGTCAACTTTCACTGAGAGTTTACTCCTCTGCAGCACAGATAGCTTTTGGAGCTGTCAGTACTGTCGTGTCTTTCAGAAGCTCTCAAAAATGCCACTTTATTATTTAAATAGTTTCTTCATGCTGGCAAGTAATTTTTTTTTTAAAGCCTTTTTAACTTAAAAATATACATGTACCCCATAGGTTGGAGAGGAGTGTTGTTTGTATGACTTAATAAGAAAAATATGCATAGTGTAAGATAAAACCATGAACATCTTTTGGTCTGTGTGTGGTATGGGATCAGAAAAGCTGTTGCAGCCATTTCTGAATGTGAAAACATTGCAAAGCATTTTCTGTGTTTATAATGCTAAGGAAAATATTAGTGTAATATCTAATTTGATGTCTGTGGCCATTCTCTGAGAAGAGAGAAAGTTAAATAGCTCTTTCATGTCTTTGAAAATCTAAGATCAGTTACTGATGTTTTGGGTTGAGAGAAGGCTGATGTTGTCCAATGGTTGCTGTGTATTTCATTAACATATGACAAAGTATATGTAATGAAAAACTGTACTGCTTTTTGTAAGCAAATAACAGATCAAAATCTGTTCACACTCTTGTCTTATTCTGATTTTTTTCTTTATTTTTGTAAGAATCAGACTGAGATGATTACCATCAAAGCTTTATGCCACACCGACATTCTTTATTGTCTTGTACAATACACGTTATTCCCATGAATTTGGCTTTATGGCAATCCCTTCTCCATTTCCCTGTATCTGTATTTTCATTCTAGCTGTTCCCAGACAGAGTGAAACAATGAGCATCTTAAAATGTCTCGTGAATTCTCTGAAATGCCAACCAGCAGAAGTCTTTGACTGCCTGATTGCCAAGGGCAACTGGATCTCTTTGAATCAATTCTCCTAATATGTGAATGATGGCGGGTGGGAGGAAGCCAGGAAGCCTGGCTGGTGCTTGGTCCTGTTGTTGCAGAAGTCTGCATGTCTACCACTGCATCTTTCCTTTCTCTGAGCTGTTAAAGCTGATGTTGATTTCATCCCATCTAAAAAAGGAAAAAGGGGAAAAAAAAAAAAAAAAACTTATGAGGGGAATCAGTTCCTTCCATGGTTTTCGGCTGTTTGCCAGAAGGGTAATTAGCCTGAGCAATCTTTCACTGTAGTGCTGTTGTTATTAGTTTAACCTTAAACTCTAAGTGCTTGTATGATTAGGACTGATGATTTATATTATATCTTTTGAAAGAACTTTTTCTGGGAGGGAGAAACAACTTGAAAGCGTAGCAAGTTGTTCATATTTCTAGGAAATATTCCTCAAGATGGAAGAGGCTAAAAGTACCTATCAGATTCCTTCACCCCGAAAGGTTTAGTCACAAAAGATAGTTTTTCTTTCCTTTTCTTTTTCTTTTCGAGAAATGTAGCCTCCCCGCTGCCCCAAAGCCTAATTCATCTGAAGAAGTGTGTTTTCAATGGTTGCTAATGTGCTGTTAAAGATGGAATTGCACTATTCCACAGCCATCCCAATTACCACGCTACCATATTTCACTCTGTGCTAGCAATGAAGTGGGCATTAAAAATCACAGTAACCATTTTGTTATTGTACCATCGTCTAGAGAAAGGTCCATTATATGTTTGATGTGATCATTTTGTCAAAGACAATGAAGATCAAAGCACAGTAGGAACTTGTAGCGTCTGCTTTTCTCCTCTCTCTCTCTCTAGCCTTTCCCCTTCTGTCTACATCCAGAAAATTCTGCTTTTTGAAATAGTGGAGGATTTTGTCTTTCCCTTCTCAGCATATTTAGTCACCCACCAAACCCATAAATGAAACGTTCAGTTATCTGAATGCAATTAGCCACATATCTATTTTTCATCTTTTCTTTCAGTTATTTTGCCTTTTAATTATCTCTCTTTGTTATTAAAAACAGTCACATGCTAAATTCAATCACTTTGATGAACAATATGAAATAAAGAAGTTCAATCTTTTATAATAATGCTCTTCTGTGGGATCCAGTGATGCTGTGATTTTTTTTTTTTTACCATTAAGAAATTGCCCTTTTCAGTTGTCTGTTGTTCACCTTTTCTTTTTCTCCTGAACAATAAACTGAAGAACCTCAGTTGTAAGATACAAAATTTTGTACTTTCTGTTCCAGAGCACTTCCTTCTGCTTCTAAATTTGTTGTTTCTCTGATCGCTAAAGAATGAGCCATCATTTTTGAAAGATAATCTGAGATAAAGCATTTAAAGTTGCTCACTGCAAAATACCAGCCAGACTTCTTACAGTTTACAGGAGGAGAACCATGCAGAATGGTTCACTTTGGGTCAATATGCAACAAATATAAACAATATTACATTGGTGTTGTGTTGAGCTACTCCTTCAATGGCCTCCTATGGCTTTAGCCATTTATCAGAGATTTTTTTCAGCTTCTAGCATCAAAGTACCTCTCTGCTTCTTTTCTGTATCTCAGCTTGGACTGTCTGAGCTACAGACCCTGGCCCCAAAGAAGTGCTTTGTCCTTACTGTTTACTGTAATGCATTGGGTTTTGGCCTGATAAAACCTTTATCTAGAGAGAAGACCAAAACTGAAACTCATTATGCGAGTAGGTGGGGACTTGGGGAGGTTAGTCTGCAGTTCTGTTTTTTGACACCAAAAGCTATGTTGGATGACAAAGACATGTCCTGTGTTTTTCTGTTGGATGCATTCAGCAGATTGCTTGCCAAAAAGCTCATTCTCTTCAGACGATGCTGCTAATATTCCTTTTCCTGTTTCTTTTACAGTTTGTTGCTCACCCTAACTGCCAGCAGCAGCTGCTCACCATGTGGTATGAAAACCTCTCAGGCTTACGACAGCAATCCATAGCTGTGAAGTTCCTGGCTGTCTTTGGGGTTTCCATAGGCCTGCCCTTCCTTGCCATAGCCTACTGGATTGCTCCCTGCAGCAAGGTAAGGACTTCCAATGGTTCACGTTGTTTACTTTGATACTTAGACTCCTATTTTTTTTCTGTAGTTCCTCACTTCTTCTGGACTCCTTTCTTCCCTTTTCTCCTTCTTTTTAATCTTGTATTTTCAGTTATAGTGAAGCATTTACTGTGGCATGTGTACCTGAAACTGTCAAGACACAGAGGACAGCTTAGGGTTGCAGAGAAGGCTATAATTGATCAAACGATCTTTATGGTTTTGAGGGAAAAGATGATGAAATTTGGAAAATTTCCGTATTCCTAAATATGGCTGTGCTCTGTCTCAAAGCATCCAGTGGAGCAGGAGTGTTTTGCCAAGGCTTAGAGATCACAGGACTAGGGCCAACCGCTGGCCTGTGTACAAGCTTGAGCTCTGTAAGCAGACTTCCATCCTGATGGAGACAGCTCAAATGAGTGGAGATAAATAGATGTGTGGCTGACTGATAAATAGCTTTTTTTTCTCACTACTCTTACTGAAGGAAAAAGAGGTGGCAAGGGAGAAATTTATTTCCCGTTCAGCAACATCATCCTTACAAGGTAGACTGTTTAGACTGTTCTCAGCAAGAGGATTATCAAAGGTACTTAAGTCTGATAGAGATGACCCCTGGCACTGGTAATTTACTCTGTCTTGAAAGCAGTTTCTCATGTTTCATTTAAAAATCCAGCAAGGAAATGTCTAAATTTGCCAAACCCAAGAAATTATAGATCTGTGGGTGGATGTTAAGGAAACACTGTAACTTAAAAGATTTATCTGTAAGTAAAACTAGACAAACCTTTTGAAAACAGCCTTCCAGGGCATCCAAGATGATAAAACATTTTTAAGGCTTACAGTCCTGCAAAACAAGTTCTTTCTCTTTGAGTGCTTGAGAATGCAACTTCATTTTGTTTAGATAGCTATCAACATGTGAGCCCATAGATCTTATAAATACTGGCCAGGACTGCAGAGCTCCCCATGGAGAAGTGCGTGTGAAACCAGGGCTGTGCTGTGGTTGGTTTGGGTTAGGTGACAGTGGGAATTCATGTGGAAGTAATGTTGACTCCTTTGTGTCAGAACTCAGTCTAGCAGGGATTTATGAAGCTGTTTAATTTTCTTCACCTCTGTTGAATGTGCTGGGAGCTGGCACACCGGTCAACAGCAATGTTTTTGGTGTATTCCCAGAACTGCAGGCTTTGTGTTTGAACACATAAGTAGGTGGGGGAGAAGGTTAGACTAGAAATAAGCAGAGAATTTAAATGAAAAACATAAAACCAACTGAGCAAAAACTCACTCAAAACCTTGAAATAAATTGCAGGAAAAAGAAGAAATAACTGAGAAAGGTCTTTAATTCCATGAGGTAGGCGTATTAAAATTTAAAGTAATAAAAAAATTGAAATATGGAACAGCACAATTTTCCCTTAAATTTTCTTTTTTGTGTGTGTGATTGTTACACAAAATCTTTTGTGCATTCCCATTTCTCAATGTCCTGTTTTTGTAGTGTTTTTTTTTTTTTTTTTTTTTCTGAAAGAGAGAATCTAGCCTTCTATCCTAAAGTCAAATTGGAAGTTATTTCAAGAATTGTCTTTCAACAAATGGTTTTCCATCAGTCAGAACAATGCAGTCTTGATTTTTGGTTTTTCTGGATGTTTTCCTCTGCAGTTAAGCTATATTTTCTACAATATGTGTCATGCTTCTGCTATGAGCATAGTACTGAGAATAGAGAAGACCTATTCTTTTTTGCAGTTTCTGTCTTTATTAGTTCCTATCTCATGGAATTAAGATTAATTTGCATTTGGAAAACTGTTAACTCTCACCCTTTATATACTTTCTTTTTCACCTGTCTGTAGGCTTTATTATTTCCCTATGATGCAGATAAGATTTCAAGTCATGAAATGAGATATTCTCTTAAGAATGAAGCTTTGTATTGGCACACTGTCAGCATTTCTGTCATCCTAACAGCAGCAGTCAGGCATTTCCCTGCAGTCTGCATGTGATGTAAGAGGGAATTTTGATTTAATAAAGAAGTTGATACATTCAAGAATGACACACCTGGAGTTCAACAGTATCGCGGTGCATGGAAAAGATATCTTAATGTCATAATGCATTATGCTGAGTGGAGGAATTGCTTTATTCTCAAGTCTCTATTTTTCTGAGTTCCTACAGACAAGAGAAAACGTCTAATTTTTCAAAAACAATTCAGGCTTCAGAACAAAGTGCTTCTTTTAGTGAATTGAGAGTGGGAATGGGCCATGCATAGGCTGCAAATGCACTTAAAATCTATATTCACAGCTGTTAAAATTTGCTCTTTAAAAGCTCTTCCAGGCTGATCACATAAAGAAATACTTGAGGTTGTTACTGTATGGGACATCTACACTGGAAACATAAGGTGGTCTGCTACAAGTGTGAAGCTAGTCAACACCTGCCATAAATACCTGCTGAGAGCTAACATGCACCACACAAGGTTTTGAAGCAGATGAGTGAACCGCTGTCATCAGTGTTGGGGTTGTTTTTAATTAATTTCATTTAATCAGAAGACCTCCTACATCTGCCATAGCATTCCTAGCAAAGAGTAAGGAAACTTGGACTTTGAGTCAGGGCAATATTCACTTTCCTAAACACATACTTATGTATCTTGGTAAGAAGTAAACTTGCTAATAAGAGCTCTTGAATAGAATAGGTTGTGTTAGAAAGACTTTCTGATACTTAGAAACATACAAATTTTCCAGTAATTTATGGCATAGACAGAACGGAATATCCTGGTTTTGACACTTTAAAATTTCAAGAAGAGGTCATAAACAGGCTCTATTTATGTTTATGTTAGACCTGAATAGCCCTGCTTTTAAAGAGTCCTTTTGCTGCAATAGCAAGAGACTTGCATTCCATTGAAAAGCTCTTTAACCAAGGCTGTTGATGGAGCTAAATAAGGAAACAAAGAATTTCTCACTTTAGTCCTTTTTCACGTTTCTTAAGAGATGTTATGAGCAAGAAGGTAGATATTAAGAAAATTTTGAGCATGTCCTGTTATCGAGAGAAATTAATCAGTGTGTAATACACTGCAAAAAAAAATCCCATGTGCTTTGAGGTTGTTCTGGAAAGTGCAAGTAGCACTTGCACTGCTGTGTATTGACATCTACCTGGAATAATGGTTACTTAGGCCACAAAAAATGAAAAAAGTGTTATTTAAACTGATTAGGAATAAAGTTTTTTTTAAAGAATAGAAGAAATACTGGTTGTAATGGAGAGGTCTTGGCTCAGATCATGGCTGCGCTTACTCTTGGCTTATTTTATTGGGATAAATCCATATGTTCTAGGGGGTGAATCTACAGATTTTGTGCTAATTTTAAGAGAAGACTTTCATATAAAGGTACATGAAGACTATTACAAAGGAATCTTTAAATGAAATGGCATTTCCTACACATTGCTAATGAACCAAAAATTCAGAATTAATATTACTGCTTAGGATCTTGTAAAGAAGAGAAGTGGGTACGTTGTTAGGTTTAATTTCATTTTCTGCTTACTACACAGGAGGGTTAGATAACATATGTGGGTGAATGGGAGAAACGATACTGACATGCACAGAAGAAGGCAAAAAATCTTATCTTGTGTGTTTCATTTCAGTTGGGACGGACCCTCCGAAGTCCTTTCATGAAGTTTGTGGCACACGCTGTTTCTTTCACAATCTTCCTTGGACTGTTAGTAGTGAACGCTTCGGATCGGTTTGAAGGAGTAAAAAATCTTCCCAACGAAACCATCACAGATCATCCCAAACAAATATTTAGAGTCAAAACAACTCAGTTCTCGTGGACAGAATTGCTGATCATGAAGTGGGTATTGGGTAAGCAAAAACAAACCATTTAAAGTCCTTGAGGGAAATTAAATTTAACTAACATAGCATGGTAGGCAGGGATATCACAAAGGGGGGGAGGGGAAGGAGAAATAATTTTAAAAAAAGATGAAGTTAAATTTCAGGCTGATTAAGGTATTCTGATTGATTAAAACATAATCAGAAAAGACTTTTATTTTGGTTTTGAAAACATTGAGTAGCTCTCAGCAAATTCCAACTTTGCTGTTTTTTCCATTTTTCTGGAGTAATTTCCAGAAGCTGTGTGTTTGCTGGGGTTTCTTTAAGCACTGAATCTTAAAGAATGTAGTATTCTATGCAGTCACAGTAACTTACAGCTTCTCTGAGTAGGGAAAAAAGTGTCCCCTTTAGGACATGAACAACCAGCCTCTTGCTATGGCATCTTATTATAACTCACAGGACCTTGGTTACCTCATCTGTGAATTGGGTGTGTGTTGCTGTTTGCTTCTTGGAAAAGAACTCTGAGATCAGGTGATGAAAGTTGTTGGATAAATAAGAGCTGGATTTCGTCAAGTTCGTAGTATGAAACTGCTACTGGTGGGATAACTTTTTAAAAAAGAAATGAAGTTGCCTAAAATTTATAAAGCACAGATTCATTTGGATGAACCCTTTGAGTGCAAAACTGTGTCACATGCACAAGTTAAACTGCGTGGGGATTTTTTAGCAGATTCAGATGTATTACTTTTGCTGGCACAATTTATTCCTGGCAGGTCAGCTTCTTTGAACCACTAATCTCAACAAACTCAGAAAGATTTATTGGGAAATTGATCTTATCGACTCTGCAGAATCTTTATCTACCCCTCCTGTATTTATTTTTACTTTTCAACAGGATTTTTATTATTTTCTTGCAGTAGGACAAACAACGTCACGCTTCTATAAGTACTGATGGCATTAAATCCCTCTGAAAAATAGAATAGGGCTGCTCTATCTGATGACTTCCGCCATTTCTTTGTTCCCTGTTCCCACAGTAAGTGAAGTCCCATACAGGATATTAGACCAGGAAAAAAGCCTGAATAGATGCCAGACTGGATAGAGTAAGAGATATTTATAAAATGATATTAAAGCAGTTGGACAAGATGATTAGATTTTAGCCTAGGTATTCTTTTCTCATAGGCAGAAGGTATCTGCCTGCCTGGAGAGTTCCTGAGAGATGAAGAAGAAAACGTTTCATTTAAAAGCAAAGGTTTTCACTTTCCTGGGAGAAGGAAAGTGATTCATTGTACAGATTTCTGAATATAATGAGATTTTCTAATGACTGCCTACATCAGCACTGACAGTCTTCTCCAGCCATTTTGTCTGTCTGCCTACAGTAGAGCTTCAAATAACGTTTCAGCCGTACTAATGTGAAATTTCAGTGCATGTAGAATGTGGGCAGCTGGTCTGGGACTTTGTAATTTATTGGGCCACGTATGGACTGCCAACTTTATCAACTGTCAATGTGTAGAGATCATGTTGGATGCTCAGTTGTTGAGTGCAAGAATTTTGTAGAGATTGCAAGTATACATCTAGAGATGTAAATATAATTAAATGTAATGCTATAGCCAAATATCACAGGCAAAGACAGCAAGAAATGCTTTCTAAAGACAGAAATGTAAATAGATAGTAAGTATATGCTGAAGTGTAGTAAATTTCTTATGTACTAAAAATACATGGCTCTATTTAATCTTGCTTGGTAATGTCTGTAGCTGCTCTCTCCAGTCTCAAAAGCATTGATGATTACCTACATTTCAATTCGTAACACAATCAAAAACTGAAATCTTATTTATTCTCGGTTTTAAAGCACATTCATCCTGTTTTTGTACCTTCTATTTTCTTATTCATACTATGGCAGCAGTGATCAATGCTGATGACACCTTACTTGTTTCAACTATAGCAGGCTGTTTTTGAGTAATTAGTTTACAGGTCCCTGATCTTGATTCTCTTGGAGGGGGAGGAAATTGGCTAAGTTACCTGGTTGTCAACAAAAATATTGCAACAGATGTTCAGAATAGCATTATTTGAGAATAATGTGACACTTTAACATGGCATATTGTGGCCAAGAGTGAGTAAAACCTGTGATAACACCGCCTGCAAATAATGTCTCTGGAGGTATGAAAATTGATAAATATATATATATATATAATTTGTTTTTTTACGGAAAAACTACTGGTGCAAGAACGACAGGCTGCTGTTAGACAAAAAGATCCCATTGCCATATCTAGCTCCCAGCTGTTTATAAGGGAGGCAAGTAATGGAGTAAACTAAGTGGAGACAACAACTTTCAGCCAGGCAAGCACTTTATTCCCCTCCAAAATCCATACCAGAGAGGCTCTATTGTCCATTAGCCTGCAGCTCTGAAATGGCTGTAAAGGATTACCAGATCAGTCAGGTAGTGTTAGTAGCCCATTCAACGTCCCTGTGAAGAGCCAGATAAGCAATAACATTTTTAGATGGGAAAATACTGTTTTGTTCTCACTCCTCTTGGCTACAAATGAGCATTCAAGAGCTGCTGATGGCAAACTCAGTGCAGAGAAATACAGTGATGCTCTCATACAAGAACTTGCCACTTGTCCTTAGAGTGCTGGGCACTGCACATTAGATTCATACACCTCAGGTGTTTGCGCCCCTTGCCTACTTTTACCCTGCATCCGGATCTTCCCACCTCTTGCATGAGGAAGGCTGGGATTTTCTATGTGAGAAATGTGCCCCAAGTGCTCACTAAAAGTAGGGAGGTTCTATTTAGAGAGACAATTTCCCCCTTGTGAAAGCAGCAGAGCAAGCAGTGGAACTCTGGGTGGGCACAATCTGAGCACAACCTTCTCTGCTAATCCTGCAGCCTTGAGAAGGCTCAAAGTAGGTTCTCCAACATTAGCTGTTCATGATTTATGTATCAGGACGGTGGATATAAAAATCTGACAAACTGTTCCTTTTCGTGTCCAGCTGGTGAACAGCACGCCTTGTGTATTTCCATTTTTCTCCTAACCAGGCTGTGCATGTAGCTTGGTTCTCCTTCCCCTCCTGGAACCAGGAGTGCCCATCAAGGTGACATTTCCAATTATCCTCACTGTGGGACAGCAGGCACCTCCAGGAACTGGGAAGCAGAAGCTGCTCATAACCACCTCTCCATCATCAAATTCATGAAACTGACCTCTCCCAGCGCCATCAAGGGCCTCAGAAATACTGCAGTGAAATGCTGTTAGACTCAGGGAAATCTACCTTGGCCTCACTGCATGACACATCTCTGTTCTACATCCCATCTTAAGTTCCGTCCCCTCAATTTTATCTACATTTTCTCTCCTCTGTATTTTTATGTTAGAAGATTTGAATACTCTCCCACAATGTACATATAATTAGCCAGCAGTACTGACCACGTAATTACTGTAACTTTTCTACTTGTCCTGAATAGACATTTTTCTGTATGTATGGATAAAAAATGACTGCCACGTAGTTGGCAAAAAAGAACAATGTAAATTATAGGCCAACAGTGTGATACTTTCACAGAGCGATTCTAATTTTAGTCAGTCTACTCAGTTTTAGACGTGTCTTACTACATTAATCTGTGACTTAGGTATATTAAGTGACCGAGATTAGAAATAAATTTGAGTAGGAGAGTTAATATTTAAACCAGGAAAGACATTTTATGGGCATCAGTGAAGAAGTGCTGTGTTTGGCGATGACGTGCACGCAATATTTCCTGAAGTACTTTTTATACGATGTGCGCACATACTGTGTAGCCTAATGTCTCATGTCTATCAGTTTGAGAATTTATTTTTTTGAGCCAGAAATGTGTTCTTTTAATATTTCATCCTTACTCCAGAACAGTTCCCGAGAAACCAATTCTTTCACTTTCTGCCCCAGGCTATTTATTATTAAATCTCACCACGGTAAATGATGGCTTGCAATGAAGTTCCTGCTTTCACTCAGCCAAGAACCTGTGGACACTGTTGCCTCCCCCTGGCTTTGCTGTGCACTCAGCAGACCACAGTCTTTCTTCCGAGATAGATCTATGTGAAACATAACCTGTGTCGTGGTACAGCTCCTGGGTTCTGCCTGGAGGTCCCAGTGCTACAGATGTTGCAAGCTGGTGGTGCCTGAAATAGAGATAGCTTAGCTTTCCTTTGTCTTCCAAACCCTTACGACTGCTCAAAGACAGATGGCATCTGTTCTTCATCTTGTCAGCCTCGCACTGACTAATTTCCTTCCCTATAACTGACTCCTGACTGCTCCTCTTGGGACCATGTGTGCTTCCAGGAGTCTCTGAAGTAGCTGAGCAAATGCATTTAGATGCCACACCACAAGAACTTCCAGCAAAGAAGATGGAGAAGAGTTCATATAAAGGACATGGTTGCAGGAGGCTGCATGGAAATTGGTCGGCCCTGCTTGTGCTTGATTAAATGTGAATTTTGCTGCTGCTATGGAAACAGGATTGCAGGAAATATTTATAATTACCAGTGGGTAAAATATTCCAACATTTTATCTGTTCTGAAACGTTTTGGCCTTGGAGTCCTGCTACAACTGAATATTGAGCAAGCTGGTGAATCTGACCTGAGCTGTCGGCTCCAGTTCACCCAGTGAAATCATCCCCTTTCCCCAGCACCCCCCAGTACAACATGGATGTCAAAATCCTTGAATTCTCTGGCTTTTAGATTTAGGTGTTTCTCTGGTGTTTAGATTTACTGTAAGTCTACTTTTAGAAAGATCCTAAATTCAGCTTCAAGTCAGGATTTGCAAAGTGGTAAAGCAGGCTTTAATGTCTGGAAATACATTATTTGGTATGTAAAACTTAATGAAAAGGGCGATGCAAGGACAAAACTTTTGTTTTTCTTTTTCTCTGATCAGGCTACATTTACTGCTAGGTCAGATTTCCTTTCACAAAGCTATTTCCATTCTTAAAATGCTCCCAAGCTCTGCATTAAAGGAGGAGAAAAACCCCAGCAGAGTAAGTAGTCGGCCAAGCTTAGCAAGAAGATTTTGAAGAAAGGAAATGTGGCCTTTTTTTTTTTTTCCTTTTTTTTTTTTCCACAAGTAGATCAGCTGTAGGATTTTATAACATCCTCAGTATTTGTGAACTGTGCTTTCACAGATGTCAGCAGAAATGTGTTTTATCAGTGATTAATCTGGTGAAATTTTGAGATGTTAGTGTTGTTTGTGCAAAGGAGTATACTAATGCATGTAATCATTTTAAAGGAAAGCTGACAGTAAGTGTTCTCTTGAGAAAGTCAGTTTAACTGAAGAGTTACTTGCTTCAACCTTAGAAGCCACTGGTAGCTGGGGAGTGGGTCTGTCTGAATGCAAAAAGTGCCTTTGTCTGCTGGTTAAATGTGCTGTGGCATCTCTGTAGGCATGATATGGTCAGAGTGTAAGGAGATCTGGGAAGAGGGCCCACGAGAGTACGTGGTACATCTCTGGAACCTTCTGGACTTTGGGATGCTGTCCATCTTTGTGGCGTCGTTCACTGCCAGGTTCATGGCTTTCCTCAAAGCGACCGAAGCACAACAGTACGTCGATCAGTACGTTCAAGATGATGACCTCAATAATGTCACCCTTCCCCCTGAAGTTGCTTACTTTACTTACGGTAAGATGCTTTTTGCTGTCTAATGCTTCTTGTTCTCTCAAGCTGTTGTGTGCTAGTGCTGAAAGTACCTTTTTTTTGGTGATATTTATGAAAGTTATTTTCAAATTAAAATCATTCTTCTGAGATTTACCCATTCCAGCCATTTTCATAAGCAGCCAAAAAGAACTGAGATCTGACCCTCATCGAGTCTCTGATTTTGCTCTGAGGCTTAGCTCAATCACTTCCTGAAAAATAGCTTGAGCAACAAATTATTGGGACCTGGGAGGATATAATTTAAATTATAGATGATGAACCCACTTCATTTTTCAAATGCAAGAGGAGGGACATGTGAACCAGTGTGAGATCTGGAGCTGCATTTTTAACTGGTGGTGTGCTGTGCATCTGTTACATCCACTGCCTATGTAATAGACGTACAGATAGAAATCACACCCATACAATTCTCCATTTCCAAGAGAACACCTTTATTTCTGAGATCCTATGTGACTTATAAATGCTAATGTTTGGAAATGCAAGCAATAGCATAGCTTTGGTTAACATTATTTTTGATGTTTTTGGTATTCACAAACAAACAGAGCTTTACACTCCCATATAGTGGCTGGACTTGTTGTGTGCCTCTGTAAGCTTGAGATATAACCTTAGATAAAATCTATGGGGACTTTGCTTATGGAAGGCTGCAAGGTCTGTGGGTGTGAGCAGAGTGGAGCACCCTTTGCTCACTAGGCTTGCAAGTCAATGTTCTAGCAATGAGCTTGGACCAGAGGGGCAGATCTGGGCTGGCAGTCTTCATTCACAGTAGACTTACACCATGTGGCACCAGGGAAACGTGCCCTGAGACCACAGCCATGGACATGCTCAGCCTCCTGCTTGCCTCTCTGAAGATAAGCTTCCCTCCTGCTGCTCCAACAAGAAAGAGGAGCTCATGCTGTGGTTTTGCTCTCTCTGGTTTGCTGGTGACCCATATAAAGTGAATTCATGATATAGAAGCGTAAAGGGTCCAGAACAGAATGTCACAAGCAGATCCTGTGAATTCTTTCATCTGCTGCTTTCCCTTGGTACAAATTGCTGGAAATAATGCTGAAGTTTACTGCTGTGTCCTTAGAGATGTCACTTGTTTTGGCTCTGAGTCAATACTTGCATCAAGAAGCTCACTGATGCAGTGACACTTACAAGCTACATTAATATAAATGATCAATTTTTAGTAAACAAACAATGCATAACTGATATCAAAAAGACATTTTTTAAAGTAGAAATGTTAGAGTGGCTATGTTGCCAAAGTTGGTTTCAATTTAAAGATAACACAACAATGATACGTTTAGTGACTGTACCTGCTTTATCTGAACAAATTCAAGCTTCCTTGTCTAAAGTTACGAAGAGAGAGATCTCAGCCTCCCTGTTGTTTCTCTTCCATGTATTGACATAGCGCCATGTATCCAGCTGGAGTTATAGCCAGTTATGTCTGCTCTGTTGTGATTTTGGTTTTCAGTCTCAGGGGCATCAGCTGGAAAAAGGACAGCACAGTTGATGCTGCAATAGGAAATCAAAACTCCCAAACTTTTTTTAAGTCTTTTATTTGTTGTGTGACTGGTAAATCTCAGTGACTCGCTCATTTCTCATCATTTCCATGACAAAAATGAAACTATTTCTTGCCCATCCTTGTAAAGAATGCTGAAGACTTCAGTGACCAGTTGTTCCAAGCCCTTTTTTTCCCTTAACTCCTGGTCAGAATCAAGATGAAGCCCTAAAAAGGAATCATTTATCATCATAACATCCACCTGCCACTTTTCATTAATAATGTCTAATGTCCATGTATTGTTTTAGCCAGGAACAAGTGGCTTCCCTCGGATCCTCAGATCATTTCAGAAGGACTGTATGCAATAGCTGTGGTACTCAGCTTCTCCCGCATTGCTTACATTCTTCCAGCCAACGAAAGCTTCGGGCCCCTGCAGATCTCTTTGGGAAGGACTGTGAAGGATATCTTCAAGTTCATGGTCATCTTCATCATGGTGTTCCTGGCCTTCATGATTGGAATGTTCAACCTTTACTCTTACTACCTTGGTGCAAAATACAACCCTGCATTTACAACGTGAGTACTTAAGGAAAAAAGGGCTGCTCTTGTAGGGCTCTGTTCATTCTGGTTTATTGCTGCTGCTAACTCTGTCCAGGTAGCTGGGATGCTGCTGAAAATTCTTCAGCTGTTAGTCGGGTGCTTGGCTAAAAGCAGAGAGGTGTCTGCACAGTGGGTGATTCCATATGCAAACAAAAGTCCATCTCTGCAGCGTACCTTTGTGTTCTCTATTCTTCCTGTGATTCCACCAAACCTAAACCTCCCTTCCTCTTAGCTGCTCCCTCCCTACTTCTTGCTGGGCTTCCCACACTGGGGGCTTTCCATCCCACACACCCACCTGTGAGGGAAGAAGAAAGCTCGGTGTGATGCTTTCCCCCTGCTGTGATCTGACATCAAGGCAGTCTCACCACACTTGTAAAGCCTGAGATGAGGAGCAGACAGCAGCTGGCATTGGATGTGTCATTTCTCTAATGTGTCATACAGCTAGCCTCAGCTCGTAGCTCCCCTAAGAAAAACGACCTTATTGGCATCATTTCTGCTCTGTGAGTGGCTGTGTCCTTCCAAAGACAGGAGCCAGTCTTACTACACTGCTCTCTTGTGCAACACATACTTTGTCCCACAACGTTTAAATTTTCTGATTGAACCAAACGTGCCTTCTGAACCTTTCTGTAACTCAGGACACACATTAATGGAAGGATTTATGAGGGCAGATGCAATTACATTTATCTGTGCTTGGTAGTAAGAGAGAAGAAAATTGAGTGTGGGATGTGACTTGGTTCCTGTTGGAAGAGAAGATGTCCTTGAAGCACAAGAGTTAATGTGAAGTTGAGTCGATGCTGTCCCTGACTGCAGCAGTTGTGGTGTCCTCCAGGCAGTCATCAGAGCACCCGTTACAGATTCCAGTCTCTGATGCAAAAGTGATAACTGTCTAATTAACACACACAGCACAAGTGGATCTCTGGGTCTTTTGATGGAAATAACGAGCAAACATTGCCTGGAATGGTGACTGCTCACCGGAGGAAAGATTGCTTGAGTGCCTGAGGGCTGTCTGAGCTGAGGAGAGTCCTGTCAAAAGGCACTGCTTGTCCTCCTTAATGTCAGCCTTGTGATCACTGATCCTGGTGGGACTTCATGGAGTTACAAAGCAAATTTTCCATGAAAATGAATTTTCCTTCTAATAGTTTGGAAAAGACTTAAAATAAGCCTGATTTCCTCTGATTATATAAACATGCAGAAGCGTTAAAGGATGATGAGTGAAAATGAGCCCTTCATCGCACGAAACAAAGAGTGTAAATTAACATTCATCCTCAAAATCCTTCTCAGATGTCTTATTCAACAAACCAGAAACCTGCAGTCCTACACAGTTTTGGCAAGCTAGGAATGGTACACTGGCAAAGGGGCTAACCCTCACGACATTTCCCTGTTTGCATTTCTTGAGCAGCCTGTGAACCGTCCTGAGCATGGTGCTTTCCTGCTGCCATTCACTTATTTGTGACAAGGGGGGAAGTCTCAATGTGTTGTCAGAATTTGCCGAGGCAAAGAGAAATGCTCACTTTGCTGAACTCGTAAGCATTTTGTGATTTCACTGACTTCTCTGAATGCACCTCATAGCAGACGTCGCAAATTCCAATGCGTGAAATTTTACAGAAATTAAATTTCCTACTCAAAACGATGGCTGTTTTACTATGGAACCTGAGTTGGATATCACTTGGCTAATTGTGACAGAAGAAAAAACCTGCTGGATTTGCACGTTAATCAGACTGGCCGGTTCCAAAGGGCACTGAATTGACAGCTCCCTCTGAACATTGCAGTGGATATCTCTAGTGATACCCTCACAGACAAGGAGCTGCTCACGGAAATAACATTGGATTTCAAACAACCACAGCTCCCCAGGACAGTGCGTAGGAAGAGAAAAAAAATGAATATTTGTCCAGGTATCATTGAGAGGGAATTGAATGCTTACATCTAATAATAATCCATGAATGCTGGTGTAGCTTGCACTTTTGGAATCCCCTTCATTTTGCTTTCTGCAGAGCAGGCACACAGCACCCCAGTGGCCTCTGAACCATGTTATCATGCAGTTTCTGTCAGTTCTTCAATTTTAATGCTCTTGATGCAAAGGAAATGAAAATGCAGCGTGCTTTTCCTCACGCTGTTAAACACTGAGATTATTTAGCTAACTGTGGTATACTTCCAAATTTTTCTTTTTCAGTTCTTCAGTGCTGAAAAGTTGACAGCTTTCAGGACTCTTGCGGCCGACCCCAGCACTGTTTATGTGTTTATTGTATGCTGTGTACAGAACACAGCTCTCCAAACAGCCCGTAATTATGAACATGCTATGCAAACAGAATTGAAATGGAGGCAAGACTGATTGTGTTCGTCTTGCTTTTTGCATCGCAAATCAGGCTGAAGGCTGCAGCATGAGGGTTTCTGTCTGCTTCTCCCCAAGGGGAACTGTGACTCACTGCTCAGTGCCAATGTTACTTAAAGGCTTGGAGGCTTTTTTCTTCTTATTTTGCTCTGTCAAAATATGATATTTTTGTGGATTATATTGACTGCATTGCTTTTCTGGCAATGTTAAAGCTCTACCAATCAATTTAAGGAAATAACTCAGTCTGAAAGGATGCCTTAAGCTTTCTTAAAGGGGAGGATGCAAGACTGACATGAAATCATGTCCTCGCTGTGATCTTTCTTGATGAACAGCACACAGCTGCTTAGAGAAGCAAGGAAAATCTGAAACTAGATGATTGCCTGTGGTCTGTTTTCTTCCTTAATGCAAAATCTTTGTTTAACTTCATCAAGACTGCCTATTGAAGCAAAATTCTTTCTGTTCCTGCTACAATTGCTGGCCCTTCTGCAGTGAGGAGAGCACAGCATACCCATGCCAGCAAGCAGCACCACTCAATTTGTCCCTGCCAGCTCCCCCTGCTCTCCAGAGTGGTTAAGATGGACAGGACTCTTGATCTCTTCCCTCATTTGTTTACCTTTGGGAAGGATAAAGCACTCTGTGTCCTTGCAGGAGGGGGGCAAACAGCATAGTTGATGCTGACGAGACGTATCAACGTCTTGGAAATTTCAAAAAGTTTGCTCCAACTGTCCTCATCTCGTGTTTTAGTGAGACACTTTCAAAAAGAAAAGTATATGTTTCCTGTGACCTGTGCCAAATCTTTTGCGAATTGGTAGTAGTGAGAGGGGAGGAACCATCCAAGTTTGGTACAGGCTGCCCAGAAAAGCTGTGGATTCCCCATTCCCCAGGCTGGAGAGCTGTTGGTTGGCAACCCTGCCCATGGCTGGAGGCTTGGATCTTTAAGGTCTCCGCCAACGTAAGCCATTCTGTGTTTCTCTGATGCATCCTCGTCAGAAGGTGGGGATGATCTAGTACCAGGTCCCTTCAGAATCATTTCCTCCACAAGTGAGAGTGCTGTGTCTGTCTGCAGGCATTGCTGAGCGTTGTGTTGGGATGCCAGTTCTCCTGCCACCCTCCTGCTCCCATACCCATTCTTCTTCCACTTGATGCTAGGATTAAGGACTTTGGACATTTGCAGAGGAGCATGATGGCTGTGCTGGAGCCCTCAGCTTCTCGGGGTGCCCAGGGCCAGCCAGTAATTTACTTTTCAAGGAGAACCTGACACCTCTCCAGAACAAAGGTTAATGCTTAAACTGCAGAAAAGGAGCGGAATTGACATGTTGTGTTAAAAACCACCGGCAGGGTGGAAAACTAAGGGAACCTTTCCAAATTAAAAAAGGGAGGTTAATAGCAGGGTGCAGCTGGGATCCAGGCTGGTGGTTATGGTTTTTATTAGTTTGATAAGTGACTGATGACAGGTTTCAAAGCCAGTGGTTTTTGGTGTTGTACAAGTTCTTTAACTAGAAATACAATGTCTAATAGAATAGGAGCTAAGCAGGTTTCTAACATAAAAGTGAAGGATATCTGACACATTAATGTCAGCTGTCCTTTGCTGCGTGTGATGGGAGGAGACGAGAGCAGAGTGAGGAGAGGAAATACCCACCAAGTAGAAAAGAGGTGGTGCTTTTTTGCAGCAGTCATAGCTCGTCCCACAGGTAAATCTCTGCGTAATATCCCAGCCTCATTGCAAAACAGCGAGGAGGTGCAAGCAATAATTTATCTGAGTAAAATGAAGACTGAATAGAAAGCCACGTTTCAACTGATGTTGTGTGACACCTATTTGGAACACCACTCAGGATCATCTCCTACAAGTCAGTGCGGTTATGCTGGATGAGAATGATCCTGAATATTTACTGCAGTCTTACTATGATGTGCAAATGGAGGAGGGGATGCCAGGAGTTGTGATGGGAGATAAGAGCCAGTTTGCTGTGGCTTCCCTAGGTCATGTTCATAGTTTGTGTCTATAATCTGTTTTCACAAACAGATCTGGCTGGATTAGTCACCCTAATAAAAATAATTAAAAGATCCTGAAAATAATTAATGGCTTTGTTTTCTTAGAGGGCATTTACCTCCTGGGATGCAAGTAAAGGCATTATTTGCTTTCAACTTGAAAACTAAGCAAAGTTCTTACAAAACATACCAACATTCTTCCTCGTCCTCCTCCTTCCTTCATTTCTGTCTGGAAGAAAATCAGACCATGGGATGACTTCATTTGCATGGTGCACTGGTTACACTCATGCCACAAGTCACAACTTCTCACAGATTCCTTTTGTGCAGAAAATGATGCTTTTCTTCTGCCCTGGAAATCCCTTACAAGGCAGTCAAGATAAGTTCCCTCTTCCTTCTCCCAGGTAATCTCTGTTTGTCTTCTCCAGATGAGGAATAGGTGGTGAAGTAAGAACTTCTGAGTCCCTTACGAAAGGTTCCAAACTGCAAGTGGCCCATGGAGGAGTCCTTAATAGGGACAGAAAAGCCAAATGACAAATAACACACCTGAGAAGAGCAGATGGAGCTAATACGGGGTCGCTGCCACTTTATAGTATTCATAGAAGTATTATTTCTTTATTAGATCAGGACATTTAATCTGGCATCTCCCAGGGTGATGGATAACTGCTTGTAATTACTGTGCCAAGGCATCATATTTATATTGGTGGGTTGCCACTTTTATTATTAAGCATTTGTTCTGGCTGATTTGCTAACAACTCTATAAAGTGACCATTTTCTTTCTTTTTAGGGTAGAAGAAAGTTTTAAAACCTTATTCTGGTCAATATTTGGCTTATCTGAAGTGATATCCGTGGTGCTGAAGTACGATCATAAATTCATTGAGAATATTGGATATGTACTCTATGGAGTATACAACGTGACCATGGTGGTGGTGCTGCTTAATATGCTAATAGCCATGATAAACAACTCTTATCAGGAAATTGAGGTAAGATAAGAAACTGGGTTATGAACACAGTATGCGTAATTGTTATCGATAATGAAAATGTTAAAAGAACAAGGAAGTTGTTGTTTATTCCATATGCAAAATTGGAGCACTACTGAAAAACAATTCTTACAGAGAGTCAAGGCCATATCAGTCCCAAATTAGGGCTGAATTAATAATTAACAATGAATCATTTCTATAAAAACTTCAACTTCCTTGTCTTTAATGACCATCTGTGAGCAATCTCGATTTCCTTTGCGTGTATTTAATGAAAGCAGCTTGTAGTAGTTTTTACTGCCTACATTGGTTGCAATAATTTATCCACCTTAGCTATGTTGTTTCCTTACGAGAAATCAAGCAATATTTCACCTGTTTCTTTCCCTATTTTCTATTGGCTAAACATGCAGGCCCATTTAGGGCTGAAGCTCATAGATACACATATAAAAATTCCTTATTTTCCAATTACCGGGTATGAAATCTTGGTATATATTTTTTGTTTTATTTTGAGGCACCCCTGGGCCCACAGATCATAATGGCATGAGAAAAAAAAAAAAAAAAATCAAACAAACAAACAAAAACCCCCACCACCAGCATATAAAGGATATGAATACAACCATCACAGAACATGAACCAGTATCTGCAGAAAGGCATTTACAGGGTTTACCCAACTTTGTTCAGTAGCACTGGTTGAAGCAGGCTGGGTTTGCTGAGTGCTTTGGGCAAAAACAACTCCCTGCTAACAGAAAAGAAGAAAAAGAAAGGATTAATATTTGGACAGTGTTAATGCTGATTCACCTCTTTCTTCCGATTTGCTAAATGTCAAGTTTCTGTGGCTGGATTTGTATTAATTATTCGCTCTAATCTTCCCTCAGAACCTGACACTGCAAAAGGCCACAGCTGAAATTATTTTCTGACTGTAATGTCTGATTCCTCCATGTACTGTAGTGCAAACAGAGCTCTATCTCATGTGTGCTGCAACTGAGTCTAAATGTCAGAGGGACCTTACATGTGCTCTCTGCCCTGGAAGCTTTCTTGTGTGCAGAAGGTATTTTCCCAAAGTTTTCTAATCACTTTGAATCATAGAATGGCTTGGTTTGGAAAGGATCTTAAAGGTCCCTGAGTTCCAACCCCCAAACCTTAAGATGAAGCAGTTTCTACTGAAACGAGATCTGTTTCTGAAGGAGTATCAGATTCTTAATGCATTTCTAGTTTATTGTAGTAAGTAGAGATTTTCTTGTGAGTTTGCAGAAGAAAAATATCAATAAATGTCTCAATAGGTGGCCTATGTTAGTTTTCTGCTCTATATTCAATATTCCATGATGAACAGTTACCTGGAAAAGCCTTGAACATCCTTCTTGGCTGCCTGGAACTTTTCAGAACTTTGTTAAAGAATATTTATAACTACCAGCAAGAGAAACAAATGTGAGCTGTTCCATCCAGAGAACTGGGAGAAATCTAGTAAATCTCACACTAATTCCTCTAAATCCTCAGCGACAGAGAGATTAAGGAAAGACAAAGTCATCCTACTGACTAAATAGAAAGTCCTTTCTGTTTATCTGACAACAGCAATGTCCATAATGACAGAGGATGGTAATTACTTAGGAATTAAATTCCATTGCAGTCAATGGGAAAATGCTTTTCCGTTAGCCAGTTTACAAAATAGTATTCTCGTGCTTTCCATTGAACATCTCTTTTCAGCTACTTCTGGTTTTCTTCTGTTTATCCCTCAAGTATTAATGCTTCCTGACCACTTTCTATTTATGGAAGGAAAAAAAAAATCCTTCTGCCAGCCAGAAACACTTCCATCATTAGCTATTTAGCAGAAAAGCCTTAAAAATGTTAACAAATTATTTCTACCATAATTCAGATTTAGGCTTTTGTGAGGTTCAACCCCAAACAATGAGAAGGCTGAGCAACAGCAGTGAATGTTGCTCTGTTGGCAGAAGTATCACTGCAGCTGCAACAGAATTAAGCTCAGTTGTGGTGTGCTAGTTTTTGACATGGTTTTCGAGGTAGGAATTAATCAGAGGTTACTGATTTCAGCAGAACATGGATGTACGTGAGTATAAGGAACCAGCAGACCATGTTTCTATCTGTGCTGCTGCCCACCATATAAACTGCAAGACAACAGCTGTATAGCAGCTGTATCGCTCTGTTTCTTTGCCTGATGGATGGATCTGACCATCATCCTCTGTAAATGCCAAGCAGATCCTTAAAGGGTGTGCTAGCCTTAACCTTGTCCTTGAGTTTGGAAGTGATCCTGGCCCATCCTGATGCTTCATAAAGGAGATTCACAGGCAGTGAGTTGTTTGTTTTTTTTTTTCCTACAGCTGCTTAAGTGGCAGGTGGTGAATGGTAGGAGAAATAAGGTGCATTGATCTGGGAATATTATCGTGGTGAACGCAATCAGGGTTGACCAGGAAGTAATCTGATGATAGAAGAAATCGGTGATCTAGCCTCCTCTATGGGTGATTCCTGGCCAGTGCAGTGATAACAGTTACCTGGCAATTAGCACTGCAGTTAATCAGAGGGAATCACTGTTGTATTTGTAACTTCTCCTTTCCGTGACTATATGCATGTTTTAATACAGATAACTTACCAGCAAAGCACCAGCACTGGGTTGTTACTGAAAGACAAGCCCTTTGCTGTCTAATGAAAAAAGTAATGTTTGACTTAAAGGAACCACACTAGTGTGCAAAACACCTTCAACAAACCTAGTTACTGGCCACTGCTATAAAGCTGGCTGCAGCTGTGGTCCCGTGTTCAAATGAGACAAAGAAACGGGGTAAAAAATGCCACTCTGAAACGATTTGCTCTTCATTATCTCCCTCGTTGCAGCACAGCTCTGCTCCAGCCTTCTGTGCTCCCACCTCTCCTCCAAAATGCCTCTTTGTGACACTGTGCTGCGTTTCTGCAGCCTTTGCTGGAGAGAAATGTGAACTTATTTGTATCCCATCTTACGCTGACCTTTCTGGCTCATGGCATTTGCCTGGCTTAGAAGGCAAAAAAGGTTCCCCTGTTCCCAACTTCTTCTTAATAAGCAGTTTGTAAAATTTTTCTGTCAAGCAGAAATAGGTGACATTCAGTCTGGTATTTGGAGGATTTGCACTCTCTGTTTATTCATTTCTTTGTTTGTTTTTTCCTTTTTTTTTTGAGATGACAGAGAAACCTAAGAAGATAACATTACTTTCAGGTGTTTTTTTAGCTGATTCTTGTTAACTCCTGCCTTTATGTTTGTTCTCATGATAGCTAAATTCCTTTCTTTGTGCTAATTATGCATTTGGGTGTTATTTTCTCTTCCCTTTCCAAGGAGGATGCAGATGTGGAGTGGAAGTTTGCACGTGCCAAGCTCTGGCTATCCTACTTTGATGAAGGAAGGACTTTACCTGCTCCCTTTAATCTAGTGCCAAGCCCTAAATCATTTTATTATCTCATACTGAGAATAAAAATGTGCCTCATAAAACTCTGCAAATCTAAGGCCAAAAACTGTGAAAATGATCTTGAGATGGGAATGCTGAACTCCAAACAACGGGTATGTTGCATCTTTGCTTTTTGCCTTCTGTGTAGAGTGATAGATCCGTGGCTGCAAGGACCTTCTGCTGGGGGTTGCATCGTTTGCAGGTTGATCAGGGACAGTGCAGTCTTTTGCTCAGCATTGTTACTTGTCTTATATCAGCACCTAGAGGGTCCTCCCAGACTTGCAGCCTCATTGTACTGAGCACTGTCAGTACACCTGTGACAGAGCAACTCTTATAAAAGGAGGCACTCTGGGTTTCCCAGAGCCTAATAGACAAAGTCAAAGGGCAAGGGCAGAAGCACAAATAATATCCCATCTTATCTGGCTCCTAATCTGCCCAGCAGGCTTTCATGCCACTTCAAAACATGCTCTTGCCTTTAAGTGATTTCCCAATTAATTTTAGTGCCATTACGTTAACCACCATGTTTACTGCCATTCCAGGTTTGGGAACAAGTTTCCAAGCAGTTACTAATAACACTTCCTAAATGCCTACAGCTGCAATTAGCAACCCCTCTCTTACTTCTGCCTAGTAATGAGTAGCACTGATGGGCAGATCCTGCCTCTTCCATCTCTTCTTTGGCCACCTGAAGTAGAAATGTGCTTTGGTAGCAGTGGGGTTGTGTTCCCTGTCAAAAGAAAGCATCTGTCTTCTAGCCATTACCAGCATCCTGATTAATAATATAATTATTTCTCAAGATCAGTGAGGCAGTTGGGAATAAAAAGCCCTTAAATAGGGACTTCCCTGTACACTTGCATGCAGTTGTAAGGGTCTGTGTGTGTATTAGCTCCTTTGAGTCTATAATATGTAATTAATTCCTTTGAGTACTTCTTTATTTCTTTAGCGTTTGGACCAAAAAGTTCATAGGTGGATATGAATGTCACATAAATCTGTAATGAATGTTGGTCTTCTGAAAAGACTTTTGGAAGATTCTAGTTGGGAAAAGCAATAGCTTTGTTGTCATCTGATAAAAAAATAAATAAATACTGTTGTATTTTTAAAAAGGGTTCAGATAAAAAAGTAGCAAATTGTACTACTGTTTTCAAAGAACTGCTGAAAATCAATTCCATCTCAATTTTTTACAGCTGCATTGACTTGTTCTCTACAAACCTATTTATTTTTTAAAAACTGTGCCCTCCATTGGTAATCACCAATCTAAGATGAATACATTTCACTTTTCTTAGCACCTCCTTAACCAGAACTGGTCTGAGAGTACTGTTTGTGCCTTGACAACTTAAAATCCTTTCTTTTTCCCAGGAGTTTTTGTTCTTCAATTCTTTTCCTTCTTTTGGAACCTTTTTAGAACAGAATGCACTGACTTTTATTACACCCACACATTTAATCATTTCCTACCGGATTTATAAAGCTCCCTTAAGTTTGGGGTCATTCGCATGAGAGAAGCTATCACTGGCTTAATACATCTCAACGTTTTATCGTTACAGAAAGTTCGTTTTCAGTCTGGCAGTCTGCATTCAGAAAACTTTTCAGTGAAGAATGCTTATAACAAGCCCACAAGATACCAGGTAATCACAGAGCGGGGCAGAGGTGTGCTGGTGTACTGCTCTGCTGGGCTGTATTGCTTGGGTCCAGTTGGTGCCATCCTGTGATGTGCTGAGCTGTGGCTTAGTGCGGTCACAGCGCTCAGAGGCAAATGCGGCGTATCATCCATGGTAATAGACGTGGTGTTAATTAACGCTGATTAATTGCTCTCATGGGTATTAAGCTTCATAGTAGGACCGTCATTCAAGCTTTAATCTCCTAGTCTCGCACTGGCGGCGTTTCATTGTCACGACACCATGCCACCCCTCCAGCCTTTCCATTGCCATTTGCACGTGCTTTCTCTGTCAGTAACTTGTCCTACGCTGCAATGTGGTATGGTCCAAAAACACAGTTAGCTGATGTGACACCATCAAGATTGAAGGGAAGAGAGATGATTGCCCTTCTCAAAGCAGCACTTTGGCATTTCTGACATTTTCCTGTACGTTCAGACCCACAGGTAGCAGAAAGATGCTGCTATAACTTCTAAATGAGATCTCCTAATGTTTGTGGTAAATTAAGCCCTTATTTCTAGGGTTGAGAAAGCCAAATACAGCTGTGAAAATAAGTTGAGTTTTCAAAGAAAGGCAGGCATGAATGCTTGTTGTTTTCACTTGATTTTGCTCCTACTGGACTTGCCTTCAAATGATCTTAGAAAGTGCCAGTTGCTGTAGGAAGAAATTGTCAAATAACGCAAGAAAGGTGCAATAATCTTCATTATCTAAATAGAAAAAAAAGAACAAACGCTTTGATAGTCTGTACAGCAAATTTTCTTCTGCAGCTGGGAAGATGTTTGAAGTAGTGGCTTCTCTGCATGTTTCCTTTAGTGAGGCTTATCAGGTGAAGTAGACCTGCACTTTGTGTAGCTGTAGTATGGTGCTCTCGAGGGATAACAAGAGATGAGCAGAACTAAACCTGCAGTAGCTTGAGAAATAGGATAAACAGCTGCCATGATGTGGGGGGTAAACTAGTCTGAGTAACAGAATGTCCTCATCAAACCCTCTTCAGATGAGGCTTTGAATGGAGCACTGCTAAAATGCTGTGTTAAGTTCATGTGTTTGTCTCCACTCCCAGCACTGGCAGTCTGTCATGCTGTCAGCAGCACCTTCCTCTATAAAAGTCAGGAAAGGATTTGTCAGGGAAATTAGAAGGACTGGTTGGTAATTTTAGAAGCTCAGGAATGTATTTATTTGATGTTTGGTGTGATAAAATAGCTGCAAGAGATGAGCACACGTGATGGCTCACTCTGGAGCTCTTGTACAGCCCAATGGGTAACGTCTGGGATTGAGACCAATTGTATTTAAACTGTTTCAAGTTTGGCCTCCATTATCACAATGCTGTCTGGAAGCTTTATTTGTCACTTCCCTGTAATAAACAGGATTGTTTTGCTGAGAAGCTATTCCATCTATTGAAGCTGTAAGGAACAGTGCTGGAGAGAAGGAGAAAAGCAATATGGAGCAAAAACGAATAACTTTCCTAAACCTACTGGCTGAAACATCTACTAGGTGACTAAGTAGCCTCATGTTAGGGATGGCCATGTTTTTAATTTAGTTTCTGTAGACAAATCTGACTGTATTCTGTTCTCGATGGATCAGGTGGGCACCTTCAGGCTTTTGGCTTTTGTGTGCAGCAGTTAATATAGGACTGTATTTGAGTAGTGGCCTTCAAAAATACCAGCTGCATGGGAAGTGGAGTAGATAGATGTTACCATATTTTTCCAGATAGTAATGATATTCATTGTTTACGTCAATTCCTTGTTTTATTCTAAATTTCCTGTCATCTGTTCTGAAACAAACAAACAACAAAAATCATATATCTTGGATCTAGGATTTCCCTACTTTCCCCAAACATTACTTCATTTATGTTTTCCCAGGTGCCAACCCTACCTCCCTCTGGATTCTACTACCTTGGCCATCTTCAACACACCGTACGTGCGCTGTGCCTCACCTCTGTTGCCTTAACTGACCCACCCGGTTAGCCAGATGCCTCTTTGAGACAAGGACAGAGTCTTTAAATCCCACATTCCATGGCTACATGACCTTTATATAAATGAGTGGATCCTTCTTTGATTGCACGTGCATTTCGTACCGTTATAACTCATAGTTGGCTTCTGGGGAGAAAAAAGAAAAAAAGAGCAAGTGTATCGATTCCTTAATTCGAGTTTCACAGTCTTTGCAGTGATTTTAAGTGATGTTCAAAGCAGACGTGATTGCTTTGCGAATAGGTGAGCTCACGCTGAGAGGTTTTCCCTTAATAGGGGCCATCTGCTCAAGAAAAGGCATTTGCATATCCTCTCTTGGATGTTCATCGAGCTCTCCTCTGTTTGCAGAGGATGCAGAAAGCCCTGAGGGCACAAAACTATTCACTGAATGTGTCACTCTTTTGTCTCAAAGAGAGCCCTTTGACCTCATTCTAGAAGTAGTCCAAACAGCATAAGGCTTTTCTATTTTCCTGTTTTAAGAAGCTGCTCCCAAGCGAGACAGCGTGTCCTGCCTTAGCTCCTCCCCTGAAACTGAGCTACGGCCATCAAGCATTGCATGCCCAAGAACTGATATAAACATCCAATAAGCAAATTTAGGCATATTAGTTTGGACTCCTGATCGTTATCTCTGATAGAGCAGCACTTTTTACATTTCTCACAGTTCAAATGCTTTTTTCCCCACTGATGAGCATCTTTTCTGTAGCAAAGAGCTGGCAATGATGTAGGCCTTCTGCTGTAAGCCACTGGGCCTGAAAAAAGCACTGCAGCCTGAAAATGACAGTTACTTTCCTGCTACATAAATAATGTGTTTTTGAAAAAATATCACATTGCAAGCTCGCATCCATCATCACCTCTTACTGTTCCCATATATGCTGTTCCTTACTAAGTCATCCCCCCATTTTATAAATCTACATGATGCTGTTTTTACCCTATGTATGTCCCATAACATCCACCATTTCTCTCCAAATTGTCTCATTCTCCATTTTTGTTTTCTCTTTCTCTGTTCTAAGTCTGTTCTCTCTCCTCAACCCCAAGTTCCAAAGCAAGTATTTCTGTTTAACTTTGGGTTAGATATTCAATTCATCATCATGAGTGAGTTTGTTACCATCATTAACAACTTATTTCTTCCAGTAAAGTTTGTTTTATAGATATGTTAAACAGCAGATTGTTCAAGGAATGGTTGGAGTCCCACTTCTTAAATTGCTGTTGGATCATCTATGTTTTCATTATGTCTGTGGGACATACTCTGCACTCAGATGCATGCCACAAACAAAATGTGGGCTTATTATGGAATGGCAATCAATCAACTACTTCAATACGAAGCTCACAAGATAGATTAGAAAATAAATGAGAAGTCAATGATAAAAATCCCTTTGCCTCCTCTGAAGCCAGGCTTCATCCACAGAGAAATGAGGTGCTTGAATTTTTCAGAATAAGTCGAGAATTGAGGAGGTGTGGATAAACTCACGTTGAGTGTCTCTGTTCTCTTTTCAGAAAATAATGAAACGCCTGATTAAGCGCTACGTGCTGAAGGCTCAGGTGGACCGAGAAAATGATGAAGTCAATGAAGGCAAGTGGATTTTTATTATTGCCACAAATTAGAGCATGTTACTGCTATTGATATCTCAAGTAAAAGGATTGAGCTTAGAGAACACCCTTGGTGGAGAGGAAGCATGCCTCAGGCTCACATGTAGGAAAACGATGCTGACTCAGAGCCACCTTGCTGCTCTGAAATGTTCCTTAGCAGAAAACGTGGATCATAGAGTCTGTCTGTACAGCGTCCTGCTTTGCCTCATAGCTCTATATGTCCTTCCTTTGCAAAACCCAGGGCATTACCCATACTTAGCCTTGTCTTGGGGCCTAAGTAAAGTAGTTATTGACTGTACTGCCCATGCCCACCACAAGGACATTGCTGGAACTGAATAAGGATATACGCTGCCGTGGTATCTTGTAGTATTTGTAAGCAGATGGAAAAGACATTCCTTGTAATGTCTTTTCCCTGCTATCCTGCCAACGTCCCATGTAAGCGAAGGTCTATACATGGAGAGCAAACAAGAAGAAAGATGAATTTTCCATACACAGTTGTTATTGTTGTTGGTCCCTCTACTGCAAGTACAGGTAATTTCCTATAAGCCAAATATTAAATGCATAAAAGCATTAACATCATAGAAAGTGCCACAAATGCCCATGACCTAGCTCAAGTAAATAGATAATTTCTTCTGTCATAAAATTATAGGTGTGATTCCTTTAATATTGCTAACAACAGTGTATTGCTCCCTTTAGGAGAACTTAAAGAGATTAAGCAAGATATTTCTAGTCTCCGATATGAACTCCTGGAGGAGAAGTCCCAGGCTACTGGTGAGCTGGCAAGACTTATACAGCAACTGAGTGACAAATTCGGGAAGAACTTAAATAAGGACATTTGAGGGTGAGCACAGAGGAAAGCAACTGGTTTTCTAAACATTATTCAGTCTCAACCAGCATCTTAAGAGGACAAAAACAGCGCAAAAAATGGGGACCAGGCACTCATCTTCTACGAATTGGCAGTGTCAGTTGGAGCACTTTGCATTACTCCTGTGTTTGGTGAATTTCCAGTTAAATCTTTTATGACACAAAATAACTTACTGGTAAAAGCATACCCCCTTCAATATCAGAAACAAATGAACTGTAGGGAACGCACCTTTTAAAGGCAAAAAAGCCAGATCTTCATCCACCTGTCTGCAGTGAACTGTGCTCATTTACCTTAACTCTGTTGACCAGGAGTTGGTGAAGGCTGAAGGAAAAACATGCCAAGCATATTCCTTGAGAATTTAAAAGAATCCTGTCCTTGAGTGTGTACTCCCCTTTTATGTTTACATGGGCATCCACAGAGGTAACTTTGAACAGCATGGTGGTTAATGAAAAGCATATGAGAAATTGTCTGCTGAAAGGCCAGTTGTCAGATACTTTTCAGACTGGATGAGAGAGTTGGAACCATGAACCAAACTTGTTGGGTAAAAGGTCCTTCATCCCTTTGCTGGAACCTAATAAAGGGATTCCAAGCCAAAAACTCCTTTCTGCCTTTTCCAGCTGTTTTAGCCAACCCACTAACAGCTGTGGTCCCTTCAAACATATACCAAGCCTCTCTTTTGTCCATAGATGATCCCAGCTACAACAACAGCGTACAGAAATATTCAGTGAAAATCCACAGCAGAAGTAACATATTTTGTGCTTATGTGTTCAGGACAAGGAACAGCACTAATGGATGACAGCAACTCAACTCAGCTGCTCTGCTTTTGGGTTCCAGAATTCAAACAGCAAGCCATAGCATGAGGTAAACTATGAAAAACATACCCCAGGAGCTTCAAATCTTTGAAACCATAGGAAAAGGCTTCATTTCCAATGAGGACATGGTGACAAATAAGAAATAAAAAGAAGAATGAATTGTTGAAGAGATGATTGTTCTGAGTTATGTGTTTGGCTCTTCTGGAGGACCTGGAAGGAATTAAAACCAGTTCCAAGGTTGTAATACAAACACTCAGAGTGCATTTTTACAAAGGGTAAGCAACGAGTCTGTGGAAAGCAACTGAAGACTTGGATTGCTTGGGTTTCTACATTTAGCTACGTGATTTCAATATTTAAAGCACACCTTACAAGTTGGGAACCGCTGAACTGTACTGTTTGTTCACAAGGTACACCTATGAGATGACCATCGCCTTTAGGTATCAGCTGAGAAAAACAAGCAGAAGCAGAAGGTGACCCGTGATCAGTTCTTAAGTGCCAGATGAGAACACAGATAGCCTAATAGAATCATAGTTATATTTGTACAAAAACGTTGAGGAAAAAAAAAAAGACAAAATAAAAAAGTGTACTGTACGTAGATCTGTTTAGAGAAAAAGCAAAATACTGTATTTTTACCTTTAATAAGATTATCTTGTATACTGTCATATTTTTACCTAAGACCAGGAAAAAATAATAAAATTACCTCATACTATTTTGTTGTACACTCAGTGAAATACTTGCCTGATCTTTTGGATATCCTGAATATTTTGTTGCTTTTCTGCTGTGTTAACAGTGAAACCATCCAAAGAAGGAATTTTGCCATAAAACTTCTGAAATTTGACAGAGTCAAAAGGCAAAACTTCAAGTATATCTCAAGGGAATGAACTTAGAGAATGGGGATTTCTGACAACAACCTGTAAATGTGTCTCCTTATCAGTGGTGCTTCATTTGAAATACTATCAGTATTAACACGTTTCTAAAACTAATGTGGGAAATTGCTACTTTTGCATGATGGTTCTTGCAGAGTAGTGTTATGATGAACCACTTAGCAGACAACATCTATCACAGAGCACCAAATGCTGGCACAAGATGGTCACTACATGTCATGTTTGTGGGAATGGTAGCCCACTTGTCTCTTTGGCCTGTTTTCCTCTGCTTAAATTGGAAAATGGTTAAACTATTCTGCTTTCTCCATGAGAAGATGGAATATCTTTCATGGCAATACTGCTATATTTCCCTACCAACCACTGTATAAAACTCATTTCAACTTCGATAAAAAGCCCTGTCTGAAAGATTTGTCTCATTACAACTCTACGGCTGGCTCTTGATCCAGGAATTGCTTCACCCTTCCCATTCAGTGTTTTAACATCTCCTAGGAATGCAAGTAGAATTCATTAATGCTAAGGAAGTCATATTAACCATAATTTCCATTTCTCATTGTACTACTTATTGAGTTAGATAAGAAAGGTAAGTGGAAATGCAATGATACACTTACATTTTGCATATTTAGATGCAATGCAATGCTCCTAAGGTCCTGTGATGCAGAAGGAAGTGTTCTCCTGGTGCTGAGTATCGCATCTGTGCATGCTGTGGTCAGCACGAATGGCAACACAGAGTGAGGAGCTCTGTAGAGTGATGTGGGGCACAGCTACATCCCATCAGCTGCCCTGAGAATGGTGGGGTGAGCAAAGCAGCACAGCCCTGCTCTGCATGCAGGAATTTGCTGTGAAAGAGCATCACGTTTTCTAGAACTTCAAAAAGAGACTGAAAGAAGTACAGAGAAAAATGCAGTTTGAAAACTGTGCTTCTTCCCCTTTTAAGCATTTACATTCCAGGCACTGAGGTTCTTTGTATTAATATTCATGACAAGCAAAATCCCACTTCCCCAAAGCACTTCTCTCATTTGGTCCCAGGAATACCAGCAAGAAAGCTGCATGCTATGTATTCAAGTGTTAGGAGCAGAAATGATGTTAAATTCATTGCATGGTTTATTCTCCAAACTCTGTTTACAAGAAATTAAAGTTAAGAACCTCACTAAACGATCCCTGAGAGAAGTCAGGGATTTTAGAGAGGAAATATCAGAGCAGCTGGGACCCAGAAAGGACAAGGTCTGGGGTGTGCAGCCCCCTATGCCATCCCCCATTATCAGTGGCAGGCTGGCTTGAAATATGGGGGTTCTATTTATTGAACAAATTCACAGTGCAAAGGGATATAACTTTGGCCAAACTGTATAAATGGTTAAGATATTTTATGGGAAATATGTTAGGGCTCACCAGTGAGCATCCTCCAAATCTGCTTAATGCTGCAAACCCAGCAGACCAATCAAAGTTGAAGTTGGACAAACTGGGAACAAAGCCATCAACCTGCCAGCACTGATGTGCTGACTGCCCTGGTGTTCAGATGGTGGTTTCCTTCCTTGCATCAGTGCATGCTAACAGAAAGGAGACAGCAGCAGAAAGCATTAGCGTGCATTTACGTAGGTGAACTGCAGAGCTTTCAGCCAGCAATCCCTGTAGACCAGAGATGCAAATACTGAACCAAAGGAGCTGCCAGGGGGTTTCTGGCACTTCCAGAGGGCCAAAGAAGCTGGCCTAACTACATAAAGGAGACACTGAGGACACAGCAGAGGACAGCCCATCACTGCACCACAGGCAGGCTTCGTATTGATACTGAGATGTCTTCACTACAGTTAAATCAGTGCAAACAGAAAGGGAGATAATAGCCAAAGCAGCCAAACAGCTGAACTGGATGGAGAGCTTGCAGTGTATTTAACAGCAAGTAAAAGCATACTCACTTATGGTCACTTGAGAGAGATTTAACACAAACATGCAGTGTGATAAATAGGATTTGGAAGGGCTTAAAAGGTTAGTGAATAGCTAGCAAGCTTGTTAATATTTAAGCAGTATTGATTATAATGCAGACTAATATGTAATTCTCATATTAACGATTAATTATATTGATGCAAGGATTTAATTAGGACTTACCCAGCAGGAGGGATGAGGGATCTGGTGCTGAGATGAATTTCCCTGCTGTAGCCACTGGTCCTCACTCTGGGCAATTGGTCCACACATACTGAGGAAGCAAAAGGCTGAAGGTTGAGATCTTCCAGAGGATGAATGTCACCCTTTAGTACATCAAAGAGGATGGCACACAGACTTCATAGCATATTACATCTGAAAACAGAGAAACAAATCCCCAAAGGAAACCTCCACCTGTGTGTGACAGCTGCTGTGCTCTCCCTCTCAGTTCCTTTTTACTGGATGGTAAGCATTACTTTATTTCCACCAAGTTTAAAAACTGATTTTGTGAAAAGATACATTTTTTTCTAACATAAAAACAGACTAGGGATTAAACCCACATGCTGCTTCCCAGACAAAAGAAACAAAAGTGCATTCATCCTCCAACAAAGCTTGCTGTGCGCCTCCATTTAGAAACAGCACTGACTGATTTATCAGTCATACCTGCAGCCTTCCAGGCCAGAAGTACAATCCTTCAGAGAGCTGCCACACTTATCTGCCCAACCTCACAGCCACGTGAGCTCACATCTCAGAGACTTCCATTGTGGTCGCTTTTCTCCCCAGGTCCCTGAGCATCACCATCTCCTTGTCACACCTCACAGCATCATCGAACCTGAAGCTTTTGGAGTTGATAAGCAGGCCAGCCCTCAGCCAAAAAGGGGCTGCCAATTTCGTTCAAGGAGCAGATGCTGAAGGCATTTATGAGAAGCAATCCAGCTCGTGGCTTTCAGCAGTATCTGGCTGCTGAAAAGCAGTGTTATTGAGATTAAAGAATGACAGTAAGTGAAAAGCAAATAATAGCTCCTCAGAAGCAATATTCACTGCAGAGTAAAAAGACGCAACTTGAGGGAGAGTTTTGTATGTATTAAAGATGCTTACCCATGTCTTGTGTGCTTATTAACACCCTTGCTGTTATCCAGGCATGGCACCAAAGCTGCATTTTCCATCATGTTTCACCAACCTCTTGCATTAGGACATTCATGTTCTGCAGCTCTTCCTAAGGGGGAAAACAGCAGACATAGAAAGGTGCGACTTGGAATGAGAGGAAGAAGTCTTGCACTACAAGTTAAAACAACAGCCACAACCCGCAATCACCCCACAAGCCCCATAACCCCAGGCGGTCTGAGAGGCGAGCAACCACGGATTAGAGTTTCAGGAGCTTTTTTTCCTCCCCTTCTCGGAGCACTACGAAGTAGGGCCGGGGCTGCACGTCGCGTCGGGGCCGGCAGGCAGCGCTCAGCACCAAGCGATGCGCAGCGCCCGCGCTCCTAAGGGAAGCAGCAGCTAGAGGAGCAAAGAAATCTCTTTCTGCAGGTTGGTTTTTCTCTCTCTCTCTCAGTCTTTTTTTTTTTTTTTTCCTCTTCTTTTTGTAGACTGTGCCGTTAAACTGAGGGAATGTGGAACTGATGCTTTCTTGTTAAGGGGAAAGTCAGCATTTCCCTGCTTGAATTTGATTCACGCTCGGATGGGTTTCTCTTCCTTGTCTTGCTTATTTTCATGGAAAACATCTTGCTTGCTCCTACGGGACCGCATCTTTCAGGGTCTGGTGGCTTATTTCTACCTGCGTGGAGATAAAAATCTCCATCAGCAAAACCTGCACTTTGCCTACATGTTGTCTTTAGGACCAGCTGTGGTTGAACCACCGCCTGCTGCTGACTCAAAGGGAAGGTTCAGATATTCGTACTTACTTTAAAAACAGTATGATTTGGTTTTACACTTAATATAAGAACAGCACGATCAGGTGATGCTCCAATCCATATCTACATAAGCAAAAAAGAAATCATTATGAATTGAAAACAAAATCACATTCCAGTGTCCATAGCAGGGTTTGGGACTGGGTGCTTTGAGGTCCCTTCCAACCCAACCATTCTGTGATTCCAAGTACTAAAGTACTTTGGATAGCAGTGTAAGTGGCAGCAGCCCCTGCTCCTTACAATACACTCCTTTGCACCCTTCCCAAATTCTAATAGGAACTCCTGCAGTCATGCATACATCTTGGAGAAGGATTTTAGCCATTAGCCTTCACTCTTCCTAGGCACATAGCCTGTCCTTAGCAAAAGACACCACTTCAATAATAAACTATACTTCCAGAAATTTATTTCTTACTGTTCTTCTTGCAGTGATGAGTCAGAAATCTTTGCATTATGACAGCTTATACCAGTGAATTTTATGCTCCCAGATGCAATTAAGAGTCAGATAAAAGCTCCAGATTCAAGTGCACCCCTCCTGTTCCAAACCTAGTTAAAACTCATTCCTGACATTTAGGTCTCCAAGATGCACCATGAGAGACTCCTCTGAGAGCTGGCTGAGAGGCTGGAGTGACACAGAATTAGTGGGATGGCATCCACAAAGCTTTCTTTGATTATAATTGGAATTTCACAGCAGAAAAGCTGATTTTTCCCGGATAAGGAAGTCTTAATAATAAGGAGAACAATAATTATGATAATAAAACATATAGGAATCACACAATAACTCTATGAGCAAATATCCAGTAAATCAAAGCCAGCCCATCAGCAGTTCTACATTGGTCCCACTTCAAGCACTCCCTGAAGCCTCAATGCTCTCCAGCAAACCCAAGTTCTGGGCACATTCCCAGGATAAACCCCAGCCTGTATCTTCCTTGGGCAGAGGACTGTGGTTCAGAACCATGTCGGTATCCTCTAAGTCAGCCCTTGAAAACAACCAATTCCATTGCTTTGAAAATACCGCCCACATTCCATAAAATTCAGATAGGAGATGCAGCCCACAGGGATTAATGAGGGCTTGAATTTATTCCTCAAGAGCTTCTGATAGTTTTATTTTTCCACTGTGCCACTATAGTCTTCCTACACACAAAAGTTGCTCGCTTGCTTCCAGCTAGGGAAGGAACTTGATTTCACAGCAAATAAAAATTGCATTCGGGTAAAGAAAAATAAAGAAAGCAATTACTCATGCTGTACTTCAGCACAAAGTTTGCTTACGAAAATTGCCGTGCAGTGGACAAACAGTTCCAGGTGATGTTTTTCTCAGCAGGAGTTCTGCAGTTTGCAGGCTGTGCCCTCACAGCAGCCCCCACAATACGGGGTGATGAGAGCTTGGATTCCTGTGGGAGTTGGGAAATTCAAGGAGTGAAGTCAGGAAACAGAAAGCTTTGGGGGAAGCCAGCAAGACCCTTCGAACAACCCTCAGATTACAGTCCTTGTGACCATTAGTTGCCATCCAAGCAGTAAAAGCTGTTAAAAGACATCTAACATCCTACTGAGTGTGCCCTGCAGCCATCAGGCACTCATTTCTGCTCTCCCTTTGCTGCAAGTTTTATGAGTTTGGGCAGAGGGGGCTGGAAAATCTCTCAATGATGTTCCTCACATTTGCAGCCCCAGCAGAACGTCTGGGTTTTGCCTTCCTCTGTCAATGAGTCTTTTTGATTCTCAGGTTTTTTTCCAAGTTTGAATTGGACATCAAGGGGGCAAGCATCAGAGAAGAAACCCAATGTCGGCTCAGCCAAATAATTGTATTCTTACTGACTGTAAGAAAATCTGTCTGCCCTCTTCAGCTCCCCTCAGAAAGGAAAAAATAACATTAATCTTCACTTAGCACTCTATCATACAATCATTTGAGTTGGAAGAGACTCTTAAAGGTCATCTGGTCCAATTCACCTGCAGTGTACAGGGACACCCATGGCTCCATCAGGTGCTCGGGTTATGCAGGCTGACCCTAAACATCTCCAGGGATGGGGCAACTACCACTTCTCTGGGCAACCCATGCCAGTGCCTCACCACCCTTATTGTAAAACACATTTTCCTTCTGGTTAGGCCCAGAGTGACATCATGAACCACAGCTGTCTGATGCTTGTGATATTCCTGCTTCTGCGTATGCACCTTTTTGAGTGGCATCCTGCATAATCCAGCACAATTCTACACGTTCCATTGTTAATGTGCTCAAGATACACATTACTCAGCTTGACGACTAGGTTTTGTCTTACAGCCATCTGGATGGTTTATTTTAGAAAGTGAACTGGAAGAACAGTGCTTTATTCACAGTTATTAAAAGGGCTCCATGCAAACACGAGGGCTGCAGGAATGGAACTCCTCAATGTGCCTTTGCCTTTCTTCTATTAGCCTCCAGCCTCAGCTTAATCTTAGCACTTCTCCCATTCTTTCAAAAGAGGTAGGTAAAATTTATCATTAACCACAGTGCTTTTATCATGGATACTCTTATTGCCCAACTTCAAACAGAAGCACCATAAATCTCACCATAAATCCATCCATCGACAGCCACTGTTTGCACACCATGAGCACACGTTGACCTGCACTAGACTGCAGCTGGGTAACAGAATTACACTTCATGTTGATGCCAATTAATATTCATACGAGACTTACCTGGCAGTGGCAGGAGGGAAAGGAGGACAAGGTCCAAAAGCCCTCAAGAGCAACTTCTTAAACTGTGCACCAACAGCTCAGTGCCTGAAGGGGCTGGAAAACGTCCCTTGACTTTCATCTTCCAAGTAAATATGTCTTCCTTTGGATGAACATGTCCCAGTCAGCCTTTAGGGAGGCAGGAATATGCCCACCAGTCACAGCAGAATGAACTGAAATGGTCACAAAAGGTCACTGAAATGGTTTTACTATAAATATGGACCTGGTCATTGTGAATATGTGGCATTCACAATATTACCCTCTTGGTAACTACAGGGTATTTTCATGGCCCATAAGGTACTGCAGATCATATGCAGCAGCTTTTACCCAGGTTTTCTCCTCAGAAGAAGCTGTGGAAGATTTGCCATCCCTGAAACACTCACTACAGGCTTTGGGGACTGGGTTTTCCTTTCTTTGTGTGTCATAGCTAATGCTGCTTGTTTAGAATGTTTCCATTTGTAATTATTACACAATTGAATGAAGCAAGGTGCTTTGATCACATAATCATTACATCTCCCCTGCTTTGAGGCTAACTGTGCAGCATGACAGCATCTGTTTTAATCCCCAGGTGGTGCCAATAAAAACAAGAACTTGTAGTTTAATACCAAGCTATCTGTGGTCTTCTATTCCTTTAACAGCTAATGATAGAACAAAACTACAAAATATAGCAATGATCCCACAGCTGAAACTACCCGTTAAAGCAACACAAGATGTGCAAAGGATCCTGTTAGCACACTGGAAGCCAATGAATCATCTAATGCCCTCCCATATGCACAGAGGATTGCAGATTTCATTTATTTTGTTGGTACCTGTCAGAGCCAAAATAGAAGTGCATTTAACAGGGGATCAAAACCCATCACTACTAGGACTGGGATGAAACCTCTTCAGTTGTCAGATTTCACAGCAGAGACTGCATGACACTTTGGCAGGACTTTCATAACCCTGCCATGTCAGGAAGTCATAGGACTGCTTGCAGCCTGATCTGCAAAGCAATTGCCAGTTGGGAAAAATAAGTGAGAACACCACCCATTGCATTTCACAAAGCATAGAAATGGAAAATGATAACAAAGCAGAGAATAGATTTGGATGGCTGAAACAGATGGATATTCCCTCAGCATAAATGGCGAGTGTCAGTTAGACACAGCAATTTCTTCCCTGCTGTGGATTTTTAACAAGAGAAACAAGAAGATTAGTAGGGTGGATACCACGAGTCTGCAGAGGTCTCTGTGATCTCAAGTAAGGTGAATTTACCTACAGTGCCCTCAGTGGTCTCCAGGGAAACATTCTTACATGGCATTCACTGGCACAGAAAGATCAACGAAGCCATGTGCACAAGCTGCAGTTTTTGCCTAGCTCTTTCTCTTCCAATCTATTTGTTTGCACAGAGGTACCATTTATGGACAGATTCCTCCCCAGGATGATTTGTGCTAACTCCACAGTGCCTCCAGTAAACTCATTTTTCTTTAATCCCCTCTGGTACAGGGGCTGACGAAGGCAGTTGTGATTCCTGGATCTATGCCCTTGGCAAACTTGTGATTAATACCACCTCTTGATCTTAGAGACTTGGGATTTTAAGAACATTGTGGTTGAAAACTTGAATCTGCCAGACCACAGGAGTCTGAAGGATTTTCAGTGCCACTTGTTTCCTCTGTGGCATTGGATTAGTCTCATTACTACATTATTTTGTCCAGACTTCATATTCCCAAAAAGAGTCCCCTAGGGGTCCCTTGCAACCTCTTTATGTCATATACAGAGAAACACACTCATGCTTTTCTGCTGCTCTCTCCTCTGACACTCCAATTTTACTGCACTCTGCTGATTCCTCTCTGATATAAACCTGAATAATTCACATTTTTTTAATTTTCTTTTTTTTTTCCTACTAACTTTTTCACTTGTTTCTTACTGGCATTTGCGTCAGTTGTGTGATCAACCCAGAGAGGGCAGGATGGAAGTCTAGCAGGCTCAGCAGAGTAGTCCTCTCCTGGAAGACATGTAGGGTTGTGTACCAAGCATACTGTAGCCTTTATTTGAACATTTAATAAGGGTTAGATTTACAAATATGGCCATAAACCCTGATGATGTGTATAGAATCATTCTGTGTATATAGAATCGTTAAGGTTGGAGAAGACCACTAAATCACCAAATCCAACACCAACCCACCCCCACCATACTCACTGACCATGTCTCCATGTGCCACATCTCCACAGTTCTCAAACACCTCCAGGCATGAGGACTCCACCATTTCCCTGGGCAGCCTGTGCCAGTGACTGACCACGCAGTTAAGAAGGAGCTAAGCTCACCTTTGTATTGTGTCTCAGGGGCTTCTTCTCTGGTCCAGCGTCAGAAGGATTTGCTTAACAGTAGCAGAAGTAGATAGAGTGCTACAGTAAAAATAAGCCACATCAATGGGGAAACAGCAAAATCATTACATAGATCATACCTACATGGGAATGAGAGAAGTAGTGGTGTAGCTAGGCTGGTGCAATGCTACAAGCAAGAGTTTCTGTGTGTCCCAAGGAAAGAACTTCCATCTGGGCTAGCAAAACTATTGCCTCTCTCCATGGATTTTGGTCAGTTGTGGACAACACTGTGAGCAGCATGCATAAGAAAGATACTCCTGCCTTTCTTTCATGAGGTCTCCCATGGGCCAAAGAGCAGCCAGCAGCCAGCCCAGGCTCCATGGTCCCTGCTGGGACAGGCTCAAAGAACGAAGGGCTCACAATACGTCAGCAGGCTGGTTTGGAATCAAGTCCTCATTCACCTCTGCAAAGGCAAGGAGCGACAGACAGCAGTGCCGAATGGCTGCTCTGGTCCTGCCCCAGGAGGAACTCTCCATGGGAGATTTACTGTCATCACAGACCCGGGGCAGGTGACAGCACTGCTCTGGCACTCCCACTGTCTCCTTCAGGGCAGTGTCAGGAGGAACACATCCAGCCTTGGCTCTCTGACACTGCAAGAGAAAGGACAAACCGAGTCTGACTTAATGACACTACCTAAAGAGAAAGTGCTCGTAGTGCTGAGGATTTAAATTATTCTGTCATACATTGCTTCTGGCATGAACTGTTGGCATGGAGACTATTGCGAAATGTCATACAACATAAATAAAATATTAATGGCACACGAGAAACTGGAAGTGATTTAAAGAGATACTGAGCTGCCAACTGAGTTACAGTTTGGAGTTTATCATGCAAACAACAGGGAAATTTATGATTAAAGCTACAAAGGGCAACAGAGAACACTCTTGCTCTGACAAAGTACCAAGGGCCCTCAGAACAACTCAGAAAAGACTAATCTGGGAGAGGGATGAAGTACTTCCTAAAACTTTTTTCCCCTCCAAGAAATGAAAGGAGGAAAAATGCTTAGAAGAGCACAGGTGACATCACAGCATTTACCAGGATGAGAACAATGCTGCCATAGCTTCTGCCTCGTCATCTTGGGTTGCCTTGGCAGGAAAATCAATTCCCAGAGTGAAGAGAAGGCAACAGGAGTCAGCAAGGCTGAGCTAAGTGCCCAGAGCTGGCAGTGGGGCTGGTGTTCCTTAGCATGGATGTAGACCACGAGGTTGAGAATCAGGTCATGTATGTTGAGATATGAGGTTT